TTTATAGCTAAATGTTTGTTTAATAAAACCATTCTGGAGGTGGCATACAAAGTACTGTTTCGTTGGTATCGGGTCCCAGCTTGAATAACCCAGGCAAACCCTGCTTATAGTGATCACTGCTTTCAGGGTTGTGGCCATTGTGGAGATGTTTTGCATATATGGTGGTCATGTCCGAGACTGATTGGTTTCTGGTCTCGTGTTTTTGGCCTTCTTTACACATTGTTCTATCTCTCCATATGCCGGGAGGCTCGGCATACTTTGCTTCATTGTCCGATACCGGGCCTGTTGGCCCATCAGCATAAGTAGGCTTCCTATTTTTGTCGGCCACTAGAACAATTGCTCAGGCATGGATAAGCCCATCTGTCCCTCTTCAGGGGGCCGTATGACTACACTGATGCTCAATGAACAGATGTTAAGTATCCGTAATGACTGCCAACGGAAATTCTTGAAAATATGGGAGCCATTGTTGACATATGTTTTTTCCCATGCTCCCTGTCAGGGCTCCAGGGTATGACCAGAGGTATGTGAACTGACGCAGGGAAACGCAGGCTTCAGATAAGTTATAAACAATATAATTTATTAAAGACTAACAATACAAACATAAACGCAGTGCACCAAACCCCAAGCTAACACAAATACATACAACAGGGTGAAACAAACCCAAACCTAGACTGATACAGATACACAGGTACATACACATATAGAGCACAATGTAATCAGGCAGGCCGGGTCGATAACTATCGGGCAGGTAGGTACAGGAGGAGCAGGCGGAGAGAATGTTCAGGGTCACAAGCCAGGGATCAAAAAACAGGAGAAGTCAGCAGAGGTCAGGATCAAGCAGGGTCAGCAACAAGTCAGGCAGAGGCAGGAACAGGAACGCAGGTTACAAGATACAGGGGCCCAGGAAAAACACACACCAAGGCCCAGACTGCAGGTCTGGCCATCCCTTAAATACACCTGCATAATCAGCTTCAGGTGTTTGGCTGGCTGCAGGGTTGAGTCTCTGATTGCTGAGAGCACTCGCTGGCCAGCCCTGGTACTGCAGCCCACAAGGCAGGTGAGTCCCACCATTACTGGCAAGTCCATTCCTGACAGTACCCCCCCCCCTCAAGGAGCGGCCTCAGGACGCTCCAAACAGTCCTAGCTGGGCAAAATGTTCCACCGCCCGGGTCTGGTAACTGGCGGGATATCAAAGACTGGCACATCGGGCTGGACTCCGGGCAGCGGCACATCGGGCAGGACTCCGGGCAGCGGCACATCGGGCTGGACTCCGGGCAGAGGCACATCGGGCTGGACTCCGGGCAGAGGCACATCGGGCTGGACTCCGGGCAGAGGCACATCGGGCTGGACTCCGGGCAGAGGCACATCGAGCTGAACTCCGGGCAGAGGCACATCGAGCTGGACACCGGATCACCAGGCGGAGCAGCAGGCACCGCGCCACCAGGCGGAGCAGCAGGCACCGCGCCACCAGGCGGAGCAGCAGGCACCGGGCCCCAAGGCGGAGCAGCAGGCACTGGGCCACCAGGCGGAGCGGGGGGCACCGGGCCCCCCCAGGCGGAGTGGCGGGCGCCGGGCTCCCCGGCGGAGCAGCAGGCACCGGGCCACCAGGCGGAGCGACGGGCACCGGGCCCCCAGGCGGAGCGGCGGGCACCGGGCCCCCAGGAGGGGCGACAGGCACCGGGCCCCCAGGCGGAGCGACAGGCATCAGGCTCCCAGGCGGAGCGACAGGCATCGGATCCCCAGGCGGAGCGACAGGCATCGGACCCCCAGGCGGAGCGACAGGCATCGGACCCCCAGGCGGAGCGACAGGCACCGGGACCCCAGGCAAAGTGGCGGGCACCGGGCCCCCAGGAGGGGCGACAGGCACCGGGCCCCCAGGTGGAGCGACAGGCATCGGGCCCCCAGGCGGAGCGACAGGTAACGGGCCCCCAGGCGGAGCGACAGGTAACGGGCCCCCAGGCGAAGCGGTGGGCGCCGGGCCCCCAGGCAGGGCGGCAGGCCCTCAGGCAGAGCAGCGGGCACCAGGCCCCCAGGAGGGGCGGCAGGCACCGGGCCCCTGGGCGGTGCGGCGGGCCCCCAGGCGGAGCGGCGGGCGCCGGGCCCCCAGGAGGGGCAACAGGCATCGGGCCCCCAGATGGAGCGGCGGGTGCCGGGCCCCCAGGCGGAGCGGCGGGCGCCGGGCCACCAGGCGGAGCAGCAGGCACCGCGCCAGCAGGCGGAGCAGCAGGCACCGGGCCACCAGGCGGAGCAGCAGGCACCGGGCCCCAAGGCGGAGCAGCAGGCACCGGGCCCCCAGGCGGAGCGGCGGGTGCCGGGCCACCAGGCGGAGCGGCGGGCGCCGGGCCCCCAGGTGGAGTGGCGGGCGCCGGGCTCCCCGGCGGAGCAGCAGGCACCGGGCCACCAGGCGCAGCGACGGGCACCGGGCCACCAGGTGGAGCGGCGGGCACCGGGCCCCCAGGCGGAGCGGCGGGCACCGGGCCCCCAGGAGGGGCGACAGGCACCGGGCCCCCAGGCATCGGATCCCCAGGCGGAGCGACAGGCATCGGATCCCCAGGCGGAGCGACAGGCATCGGACCCCCAGGCGGAGCGACAGGCACCGGGCCCCCAGGCGGAGGGGCGACAGGCACCGGGCCCCCAGGCGGAGCGACAGGCATCGGACCCCCAGGCGGAGCGACAGGCACCGGGCCCCCAGGCGGAGTGGTGGGCACCGGGCACCCAGGAGGGGCGACAGGCACCGGGCCCCCAGGTGGAGCGACAGGCATCGGGCCCCCAGGCGGAGCGACAGGCATTGGGCCCCCAGGCGGGGCGGTGGGCGCCGAGCCCCCAGGCAGGGCGGCGGGCCCTCAGGCAGAGCGGCAAGCACCGGGCCCCCCCGGGCGGGGCGGCGGGCCCCCAGGAGGGGCGACAGGCATCGGGCCCCCAGGAGGGGCGACAGGCATCGGGCCCCCAGACGGAGCGGCGGGCGCCGGGCCCCCAGGCAGAGCGGCGGGCGCCGGGCCACCAGGCGGAGCAGCAGGCACCGCGCCACCAGGCGGAGCAGCAGGGCACCGGGCCACCAGGCGAGAGCAGCAGGCACCGGGCCCCAAGGCGGAGCAGCAGGCGCCGGGCCCCCAGGCGGAGCAGCAGGCGCCGGGCCACCAGGCGGAGCGGCGGGTGCCGGGCCACCAGGCGGAGCGGCGGGCGCCGAGCCCCAAGGCGGAGTGGCGGGCGCCGGGCTCCCCGGCGGAGCGACGGGCACCGGGCCACCAGGTGGAGCGGCGGGCACCGGGCCCCCAGGCGGAGCGGCGGGCACCGGGCCACCAGGCGGAACGGCGGGCACCGGGCCCCCAGGCGGAGCGGCGGGCACCGGGCCCCCAGGCGGAGCGGCGGGCACCGGGCCCCCAGGAGGGGCGACAGGCACCGGGCCCCCAGGCAGAGCAACAGGCATCAGGCTCCCAGGCGGAGCGACAGGCATCGGATCCCCAGGCGGAGCGACAGGCATCGGACCCCCAGGCGGAGCGACAGGCATCGGGCCCCCAGGCAGAGCGACAGGCACCGGGCCCCCAGGCGGAGCGACAGGCATCGGGCCCCCAGGCGGAGCGACAGGCATCGGGCCCCCAGGCGGAGCGGCGGGCGCCGGGCCACCAGGCGGAGCAGCAGGCACCGCGCCAGCAGGCGGAGCAGCAGGCACCGGGCCACCAGGCGGAGCAGCAGGCACCGGGCCCCAAGGCGGAGCAGCAGGCACCGGGCCCCCAGGCGGAGCGGCGGGTGCCGGGCCACCAGGCGGAGCGGCGGGCGCCGGGCTCCCCGGCGGAGCAGCAGGCACCGGGCCACCAGGCGGAGCGACGGGCACCGGGCCACCAGGCGGAGCGGCAGGCACCGGGCCCCCAGGCGGAGCGGCGGGCACCGGGCCCCCAGGAGGGGCGACAGGCACCGGGCCCCCAGGCAGAGCGACAGGCATCGGATCCCCAGGCGGAGCGACAGGCATCGGATCCCCAGGCGGAGCGACAGGCATCGGACCCCCAGGCGGAGCGACAGGCACCGGGCCCCCAGGCGGAGGGGCGACAGGCACCGGGCCCCCAGGCGGAGCGACAGGCATCGGACCCCCAGGCGGAGCGACAGGCACCGGGCCCCCAGGCGGAGTGGTGGGCACCGGGCACCCAGGAGGGGCGACAGGCACCGGGCCCCCAGGTGGAGCGACAGGCATCGGGCCCCCAGGCGGAGCGACAGGCATTGGGCCCCCAGGCGGGGCGGTGGGCGCCGAGCCCCCAGGCAGGGCGGCGGGCCCTCAGGCAGAGCGGCAAGCGGCGGGCCCCCAGGAGGGGCGACAGGCATCGGGCCCCCAGACGGAGCGGCGGGCGCCGGGCCCCCAGGCAGAGCGGCGGGCGCCGGGCCACCAGGCGGAGCAGCAGGCACCGCGCCACCAGGCGGAGCAGCAGGCACCGGGCCACCAGGCGGAGCAGCAGGCACCGGGCCCCAAGGCGGAGCAGCAGGCACCGGGCCCCCAGGCGGAGCAGCAGGCGCCGGGCCACCAGGCGGAGCGGCGGGTGCCGGGCCACCAGGCGGAGCGGCGGGCGCCGAGCCCCAAGGCAGAGTGGCGGGCGCCGGGCTCCCCGGCGGAGCGACGGGCACCGGGCCACCAGGTGGAGCGGCGGGCACCGGGCCCCCAGGCGGAGCGGCGGGCACCGGGCCCCCAGGAGGGGCGACAGGCACCGGGCCCCCAGGCAGAGCAACAGGCATCAGGCTCCCAGGCGGAGCGACAGGCATCGGATCCCCAGGCGGAGCGACAGGCATCGGACCCCCAGGCGGAGCGACAGGCATCGGGCCCCCAGGCAGAGCGACAGGCACCGGGCCCCCAGGCGGAGGTGCGACAGGCTCCGGGCCCCCAGGTGGAGCGACAGGCATCGGGCCCCCAGGCGGAGCGACAGGCATCGGGCCCCCAGGCGGAGCGACAGGCACCAGGCCCCCAGGAGGGGCGGCAGGCACCGGGCCCCCGGGCGGAGCGACAGGCATCGGGCCCCCAGGCGGGGCGGCGGGAGCCGGGCCCCCAGGCGGAGCGGCGGGCACCGGGCCCCCAGGAGGGGCGACAGGCATCGGGCCCCCAGACGGAGCGGCGGGCGCCGGGCCCCCAGGCGGAGCGGCGGGCCCCCAGGAGGGGCGGCAGGCACCGGGCCCCCAGGAGGAGCGACAGGTGCCGGGCCCCCAGGCGGAGCGGCGGGCGCCGGACCCCCAGGCGGGACGGCAGGCACCGGGCCCCCAGGCGGAGCGGCGGGCACCGGGTCATCAGGCACGACAACGGGCATTGGGTCACCAGGCATCAGGTCATTTGGCTCGCCAGCGGGCACCGCGTCATCTGGCAAGGCAGTGGGCACGGAGTCACCAGGCACGACAGTGGGTTCCAAGTCAACTGGCATGACCACGGGCACTGGGTCAGACATTGGATCGTCTGGCTCGACAGCGGGCATCGGGTCACCAGGCATCAGGTCATTTGGATCGACAGCGGGCACCGGGTCATCTGGCGTTGGATCGTCTGGCTCGACAGCGGGCATCGGGTCACCAGGCATGAGAGGGGCACTGGGTCACCAGGCATCAGATCATTTGGCTCGCCAGCGGGCACCGCGTCATCTGGCAAGGCAGTGGGCACTGAGTCACCAGGCACGACAGTGGGCTTCGAGTCAACTGGCATGACCGTGGGCACTGGGTCAGACATTGGATCGTCTGGCCCGACAGCGGGCATCGGGTCACCAGGCATGACAGCGGGCACTGGGTCATCGGGCATGGGATTCTCTGGCTCGACAGCGGGCATCGGTTCACCAGGTATGACAGCGGGCACTGGGTCACCAGGCATCAGGTCATTTGGCTCGCCAGCGGGCACCGCGTCATCTGGCAAGGCAGTGGGCACCGAGTCACCAGGCACGACAGTGGGCTCCGAGTCAACTGGCATGACCGCGGGCACCGGGTCAGACATTGGATCGTCTGGCCCGACAGCGGGCATCGGGTCACCAGGCATGACAGCGGGCATATCACTGTTTTTGTATTTTATGTGCCTTTAATGGCCCCTATGTGAGCGCTCCTTTTACATTGTTGATGTTACAGCACTGTTCTCTTTATTTTTTATGTGCCACTGATAGCCCCTGCGTGAGCGTGTCTTTTGCTTTGTGTTTTCTTTGGTAAATTGTTTAAAAAAAGTTAACAAAAATCAAGTTCCTCCACCCCAAACTTGCACAGCCATGTCCTTATGGACCTTGCTTTGTGCACTGGTGCTCAGTCATGTTGGAACAGAAAGGATCCATCCCCAAACTGTTCCCAAACTGTTGGGAGTATGAAATGTTTTGATATACTGACGCCTTAAGAGTTCCCTTCACTAAAATTACGGGGGCCAAGCCCAACCCCTGAAAAAAAAAAACCCAAAGCATAATCCCTCCTCCACCAAACTTTACACTTGGCACAATGCAGTCAGGCAAGTACTGTTCTCCTGTCAACCACCAAACCCAGACACAACATCAGGATGCCAGACAGAGAAACGTGATTCGTCTCTCCAGAGAACACGTCTCCACTGCTCTAGAGTCCAGTGGCAGCATGCCATGTAAACACCACTGCATCCGATGCTTTGCATTGCACTTGGTGATGTACGGCTTGGATGCAGCTGCTCAGCCATGGAAACCCATTCCATGAAGCTCTCTACACACTGGTGTTGTGATAATCTGAAGGCCACATGAAGTTTGGAGGTCTTTAGCTATTGACTCTGCAGACAGTTGGCAACTTCTGCACGCTTCAGCATGCGCTGACCCTGTTTTGTCATTTTTAGACGGCCTACCAGTTCGTGGCTCAGTTGCTGTTCCCAGTTTCTTCCACTTTGTTATAATACCACTAACAGCTGACTGTGGAATATTTAGTAGTAAGGAAAATTCACGGATGGACTTATTGCACAGGAGCAACTTATCACGGTGCCATGCTTGAATTCACTGAGCTTGCGAGAACGACCCATTTTTTCACAAATGTTTTTAGAAGCAGTCTGCATGCCTAGGTGCTTGATTTTATACAACTGTGACCATGGATGTGATTGGAACACCTGAATCCAATGATTTGGAGGGGTGTCCCAATTTGGAGGGGTGTCCCAATACTGAAATGGTGTATATACTGTATATAAGTTATATAGCTTATATACACCATTTCAGTAATCATCTTATGCACCTGTTGACCAGATGATGAAAAACAGACTAGTTGCCCTAGGCAAATAGACAGGTAAAATAATTAATGAGATGGGGGGAGGAGAGTGTAAAGAAACAGCACCACAAGGGCCCTCGAGAACAAGAGTCAGAACAAAGGGGGGGGGGGTATTAGGCATGACAAAAATGTTGCAAGCACAACCTATGGACTTACCTAAAAAACGTTGATGCAAAAAAAGAAAAAAAGAGGGTGTAGAAAAAAACCCCAAGGTAAAAACTACTGGGAAATGTAACTCTCACTGCCGTTCACGATGTTATTATTCTTGTAAAACCCCTATTGGTAAGAATATAAAAAGAGAGAGAAGAAGCAAATCCTATTAACCACTTGCCCTCTGGAAGATTAACCCCTTTTCCTGACCAGGACATTTTTTGATATTCAACGGTGAGCTATTTCAACTGGCCATGCAACGATGTACCCAAACAAAATGTATGTCCTTTTTTTCACATAAATAGAGCTTTCTATTGGTGGGATTTGATCACGATGTGATATAAATGAAAAAGGACTGAAATTATTGAAAAAAATGACACTTTCTACTTTCTGTTATAAAAAATATCCAATAAAGTCAAATTTCGTCATTTCGGGCAAAATGTATTCCACTACATATCTTTGGTAAAAAAAAAAAAAAAAAAACCAATAAGTGTATATTATTGGTTTGTGTGAAAGTTATAGCATCTACAAACTATGGTATAGTTACTGAAATTTGTGCAGCTTTTATTTTCTGACTGCCTATTATATTTCTTGAGGTGCTAAAATGCCAGGGCAGTACAAACACCCCCCAAATTACCCCTTTTCGGAAAGTAGACAACCTAAGTTATTTGCTGAGAGGCATGTTGAGTCCATGGAAGATTTATTTTTTCCACAAGTTTTGGAAAATACCAAAAAAAGTGTGTTTTTTTTTTACAAAAAGTTGTCATTTAAATGGTATATTGCTCACACATGCCATATTTGGAATTACACTTCAAAATATATTCTGCTACTTCTCGCAAGTATGGGGATACCACATGTGCAAGATTGTTTGGGAGCTCACTTCACTTCCTCACTACCTATCACAATGCCTGGATAGCACAAACCCCCCCAAATGACCCCTTTTTGGAAAGTAGCCACCCCAAGGAATTTATTAAGAGGCATGGTGAGTATTTTGCAGATCTAATTTTTCTCACAAGGTTTTGATAAATAAAAAAGAAAAGAAAAAACAAGTTTTCATTTTCCAAAAACTTGTGGCAACAAATGAGATCTGCAAAATACTCACCATATCTCTTAGGAAATACCTTGGAGTGTCTACTTTCCAAAAAGAGGTAATTTGGTGGGGGGAGGGGGTTATACAGAATACTGGCATTTCATGGCCTCTGAAACTGTAATAGGAAGTAAGGAAGTGTAATGAGGAAATAAAGCCCTTTGAAAGCCTGAAGGTGCTTATTGGATTTTGGGGTCCTGTACGCGGCTAGACTGCCAAAAAGTCTCTCACGTGTGGTATTCCCATACTCGGGAGAAGTAGCAGAATGTATTTTGCAGTGTAATTTCACATACAGTGCTCAGCATAAATGAGTACACCTCAACAGATTTGTCAGAAAACCTTTGCTTTCCTTTCAGAATCAACATACTGTACTACAAAATACTCCCACCACAAATGTGGGCCACTGATTGCAAACAAGATTCTTAATTTGTGCACACAAAAAACAAACATAACAAATTCATTCAAGACCTTTTTGCAAAAATGAATACACCCCAATGAAAGTCATAGGAGCAAAGCTACATTTTAGACAATAAAATCCTAATTAGCAAGAATTCAGCTACACATGAGTTTTAATTATTCATTAAACAGGTGTCTAGCAGACAGTTGATTATAAAAGGGCACTACTTAACTGCTTCCCGACCACCCTATAGCAGAACTACTGCTACATGGTAGGGCTGAGTAAAATCACGTATACAGTACAGTATATATGCGATTTTGTAATTCTGGGTAGGGGGCGTGCATGCGCCGCCATTGGTGGCTTCAGCTGTTGATCACCGGGTCCCAGCTGGAGATTTCCCGTCGACACCCGGCGATCGCCGAGTAACACTGACAGGGGAGAGGTCTGTATGTAAACAATACAGATCTCTCCCCTATCAACACCAGCATGCTGCTTTGAGCAATACAAAGCAGCATGCTTACATACTAAAACAGCACACAACACATAATGTGAAACACACAAAGCACACAGTTAACCCTTTGATCGCACCAGATGTTTTACCCCTTCCTGCCAAGTGTCAATAGTGACAGTGCTTTTTATTAGCACTGATCACTGTATTAGTGTCACTGGGGATGTCAGTAACAGTCAGTCCCCCTCCCCCCCAAATGTCAGAATGCCCGCCGCAGTCCCACTATAAGCCGCTGATCACCGCCATTACTAGTGTAGAAAAAAAATTCCAGTATATATACCACCATTCGTAGACGCTATAACTTTCATGTAAACCAATTAATTTACCAAGCCCCTTTAGGGGTAGGACACAGCACACCCCTAAGTGCACTTTTTCGTGTGGTGTTTTGCACTTGCACTTTTTTTGTGAACACTTACGGGTTTTTTTCGTTATAGTTGCACGTTTGCGGACTTAAAAAAAAAAAAAAAAAATTAATTTACACGTATTGGGATTTTTATTAGCAAAGACGTTTAGCAGAATACATTTTGGCCTACATTTATGACAAAATTTGATTTTTTAAATTTTTTTACTGGATATGTGCTACAGCAAAATATTGTTTTTTTGTTTATAGTGCAAAAAATAAAAACAACACAAAAGCGAACAAATACCACCAAAAGAAAGCTCTATTTGTGGGGGGAAAAGCACATAAATTTCATTTGGGTGTAGCGTTGCATGACCGCAAAATTGTCAGTTAAAGTAACGCAGTGCCATATCGCAAAAATGGTCTGATCAGGTAGGGGGGTAAATCCTCTGGAGGGCAAGTGGTCATGCTGTCAGCAATGGCACCACATGGAAGAGAAATGTCACAAAGCCTGAGAGAGAAAATAATTTTTTTTTCACAAGAAACTTGAAGGCTACAATAATATCAGCAAATCTTTACTTATCAGTCAGAATACTATAGCAAAAGTGATACAAAATTTTAAACAATGGATGAAACTGCAACCATCCCACAGAGAAATCGACGCCATCCACAGAAGTTAACACCTCAACAGGAGCGTTTTCTGATGAGAAGGGTTGAAGAAAATCACCATGCAAGTTCACTGCAGTTACAGTGGGAATCGAAAGTTTGGGCACCCCAGCTAAAAATTTGTATTAATGTGCATAAAGAAGCCAAGGAAAGATGGAAAAGTCTCCAAAAGACAAATTACAGATTAGACATTCTTATAATATGTCAACAAAAGTTAGATTTTATTTCCATCATTTACACTTTCAAAAAATAACAGAAAACAAAAAAATGGCGTCTGCAAAAGTTTAGGCACCCTGCAGAATTTATAGCATGCACTGCCCCCTTTGCCAAGCTGAGACCTCCCAGTGTCATGGATTGTTC